TGTGTACTCAAATTTTCCCAATTATTCAGACAATGTTTTTTAAATCCTCCTTGTTCTTGTTTCTTTCTTTTTCTTTTTCTTTCTTTCTTTCTTCTTTCTCTTTCTCTCTTTCTTCCTTTCCTTTCCTTTCCTCCCCTCCCCTCCCCTCCCCTCTCTTCCCCTCTCTTCTCCTTTCTTTTCTTTTTCTTTTTTTTTTCCTTTCTTGAGATGGAGTCTCACTCTACTGGCCAGGTTGGAGTGCAGTATTGCTCTCTTGGCTCGATGTAACCTACACGGCCCAAGTTCAAGGGATTCTCATGCCTCAGCCTCCTGAGTAGCTGGGACTACAGTTGCCAACTACTGAGCCTGGCTAATGTTTCTTCTTTTTTTGTAGTTTTAGTAGAGATGGGGTTTCACCACGTTGGCCAGGGTGGTATTGAACTTTTGACCTCACCTGATCTGCCTACCTTGACATCCCAAAATGCTGGGATTACAGGCGTGAGCCACCACATCTGGCCCAGATAATTTCCTTTATAGGATTTCTTTTTCTAATGCAGAGTCCAGTTCAGGATCACATGTTACATGTGCTTGTCATGTGGTTTTAGTTTCCTTTAATTGTGAATGGTTCCTTAATTTTTCTTTGTCATTCATGGTACGGACATTTTTGAAGAGGATAGACCAGTTGGTTTGCAGAATGTTCAGCAGTTTGGGCTTTTTCATGTATGGTTTAAAGATTTTTCACTCAGGGTTTATTGGTGGCTACTCAGGCCATATAAGAGTCTAAGTGCTAGGGAGTGTAAGTGCTACGAGAGACAGGATTTCTGCCTTGAGTCATTTGATGTGATAAGGACACTCAGAAGGCCAATAACAGAGCGGTGCAAAGGAGGCAACAACATTGTGTGAGGGCAGTCTTCAGGAAGAGGGTAATATTTGGAAAACCCCGTTTTCCTGTTTTCTGCTAACAGACTCCTGAAATAATGTTCCTGGGATTGTTATGAACACATTTATAATGACACTAGCTAAATCTTTTATTTAATACACTGAGAGCATGAATATTATTTCCTTATTCATATTTCATGTTTTACTGCTTAAATTGATAATTTTTAAAAAAAAAATTTTAAAGGGCAGGAGCCTGAAGCTGATAGCCAGGAACAGGTTCACCCAAAGACTGGGTGTGAGCGTGGAGATGGTCCTGATGTCCAGGAGATGCGCCTGCCAAATCCAGAGCAGGCGAAACCGCCAGAAGCAGGTAGGCAATTTATGAGGCATGCAAATTGTAGGGTGTCTGTTTCCACAGTATTACCTTCTTCTTCTTTTATTGTTTTTGAGATGGAACCTCACTCTGTGGCCCAGGGTGGAGTGCAGGGGTGCCATCTTAGCTCACTGGAACTTCTACCTCCCAGGGTCAAGTGATTCTCCTGGCTGAGCCTCCCGAGTAGCTAGGATTACAGGCGTGTGTTAATGCACCCAGCTAATTTTTGTATTTTGAGTAGAGATGAGCTTTTGTCATGTTGTACAGGCTGGTCCCAAACTCCTGACCTCAGGTGATCCACCTGCCTCGGCCTTCCAAATGCTAGGATTATAGGCGTGAGCCTCCCTGCCTGACCCTGTATTATATTTTTAATAACAGAGAGGTAACAGTACTGAATCCTTAATAATAGAGTTCTTATAACATAAAGGTTATTTGAAACATAGTTTAGGCCCCAGCACCTGACCTATAGACTGTCAGATATAGAAACACACTGAGTCAAAGTCATCTTGAATGAAAACATTTGATTTTAAGTCCTTAAACCAATAGTCCCTAATTATAAGATGCTTTTGTAAAGGTCTGCTTTGAACAAATACATAACACATTGCTTCTTTCATACTCTGATCCTGTTGAATAGAATGCATAGGATATAGAGATCATCTGTTTGTATGATTTGTTTTTTGTAAATCATGAAACCCTGGCCTGTGTCATCTGCAGACCTGTGAATTGAGATTTCATTGCTACGAAGAAAGTGAGCAGGCACTCTGCTTCATGTTTGTTTTTCTGTGTGGAGACCTGAATGCCTGTTGTTAGATCCTGTCAAATTCTCAATTTTCAAGCTTCTTTTATTTGTTTGTTTGAAACAGAGTGTCACTCTGTCACCTGGGCTGGAGTACACTGGTGATTTCAGCTCAATGCAACTTCTGCCTACCAGGCTCAAGCTATCCTCTTACCTCAGTCTCCTGAGCGGCTGGAACTACATGCACAAGCTACTGTGCCTAATTTTGTTTTTGTTTTTGTTCTTTTTTTTTCTTAATTTATTATAGAGATGAGGTCTCACTATGTTGCCCAGGCCCGGATTCTCTGGCTATTAATGAATAATCGCTTTTTCAATATTCTTTCAAGAAAACCTTAAGTGACTGAATTATCAAGTGGCGAGAGACTGTTTACTTTCTATTATCTGTGGCATGTAGATCAGTGATGCTTAGCATGGGTGTGAGTAAGATTCTTCTGGGCTGGGTGCAGTGGCTCACGCCTGTAATCCCAGCACTTTGGGAGACCGAGGTGGGTAGATCACGAGGTTAGGAGATCAAGACTATCCTGGTCAATATGGTGAAACCCCGTCTCTACTAAAAATACAAAAATTAGCCAGACGTGTTGGCGGGGGCCTGTAAACCCAGCTACTTGGGAGGCTGAGGCAGGGGAATCTCTTGAACCGGGAAGCGGAGTTTGCAGTGAGCCGCGATTGCACCATTGCACTCCAGTGTAGGCGACAGAGCAAGACTCAGTCTCAAAAAAAAAAAAAAGATGCCTTTGTTAAACACCCTCCCTGCCCTACTGTCAGTCTTCATGAGGCACTATTTCTAATAAGACTGTAGACACATAGATGATATAATCACCTGTAACCTTATCAAATGTTATATGTAAGTTTCAGCTTTTGAGACATGAGTTGATAAGATCTGAAGTTCAAAGACCATGACTTTAATACTTTCTGAGTAATCAGCTGAAGTATGTTTTTCACATGTGTTTTCTGAATTACTGACTGTTAATTATAAGTGCTTTTGAATTTAAAGGAAGCACTTAATGTTTAGGGATGAAATTACTCTTAAATTCTGCAGGTCTACCCTCAAAGTGTGTACAGAGGTTTAATCGGATGTAAGACACAGAATCACCCTTGGGGTTCTGTTTTTAGTCCATTTTAGAAAACCCAAAGTGTAGTGTGCTTTGTATGCCTTTAGGGTCATGTAAATAATCTGTTACTAAGTCATGTTCCCACCTGTTGTGTTTCTGTTACAGGTGAAAAGCAATCACAGCATTAAAAGAAGACACGCTGAAATGATGCTGCTTTCATGTTGGAAAGTTGTTCATTAAAGTTCTCTCAATAAAGCTTTACAGCCTTTTGCAAAGAAGTCTTGCACATCTTTTGTAAACTTTATTTCTAGGTATTTGATGCTGTGAAATATATATCATTCTTTGAAATGTTATATTCTGTTTGTTTGAGGTGGTATGTAGAGACCTAATACTTATATATGGAGCTTTCTATCCAGCAACCTGTTAAATATGCTTATGAATTCTTAAAGTTTACTTCTAGATCCTTTTCAGTCTTCAACATATGGAGTCATATCATCTTTGAATAAGAGCAGTTTTGTTTCTGCCTTTTTTTTCTATTTCCTTTTGTATTTTTTGTAGAGACGGGGTTTTGATATGCTTCCAGGGCTGTTCTTGAACTCTTTAGTGCAAGTGATGCACCCCTCTCAGTCTCCCACAGTGATGGGATTACAGGTGTGGGCCACCGCATCAGGCCTGTTGCTGCCATTTTGAAGAGTTTTATTTCCTTTTCTGAATTTATGGCATTGGGCAGACCCACCTGGTACAATGGTGATAGTGGACACCCTTGTCTTATCCATGCTGAGAAATGAAAATATTTAAGCATTTCACCATCATATTTACTTTAGTAGTTTTGGACTTTATCAGAGTAAGTAATTCCATTCTGTTCTAATTTGCTAAGAGTATTCATTTTGAATGTATGTTGAATTTCATCAAACAGTGCATCTATTTTGATTACCAAGGAATTTTTTCCTATTAATCTGTTAATGTAATGAATTAGGTTGATACATTTGTACTTTTTTATATTGTATGTTTAAAAATTGAGACAGGGTCTCACTCTGTCACACAGGCTGGAGTCCAGTGGTGTTATCCGAGCTCACTGCAACCTTGACCTTCTGGGCCCAAGCAATAATCACACCTCAGCCGCCTGAGTAGCTGTTACTGTAGGTACATCCCACCATGCCCAGCTAATTTTTCTATTTTTTTTTTTCTTTTTGTAGTGATGAGATTTTGTCATGTTGCTTACACTGGTCTTGAACTCCTGAACTCTGGTGATCTGCCCAGGTCAGCCTTCCAAAATACTAGGATTTCAGGCGTGAGCCTTGGCCTGACCAGGTTTTTCTTATATCAGGGTCTTATCCATGTAAAGACTAACCTTATCTGTACCTTTTTGAGGGTGGGCTAACAGCATGATGAAATTTATCATTCTATTAATTTAAAGAAAATATCCTTGACTTTCCAGTGTGTAAGTACATGAAAGCATAATGATTTTTAAAGCATACATTGCTATGGGTGTTGGGACCCCTGCACTTTTCACTGCTGTGGGACCATGTCCTTATAAGTACCTTTAGTCTGTTTTCTCAACTACAAACATGTTAGGGCCGTGGGTTGTGACTGGTAAGGAATGTGTCTTGTTAGTTTCAAGATGGGGTTGATTTTCAGATGGTGTCACTCTGGCTGTCCTAGGCTCTTGTTTTCCTGGTACTGTTACTTCTGTGATTCTGATGCTATAAATGATAGACGTTTTAGTATTTTCCTACAGGCCCTTGAGGTTGTATTCATTCTTTCAGTCTCTTTCTCTGACTTGTTCATGTTGAACAATTTCTTTTTGGGGTAGGTCGTTATTTCTCTTTTAGCAGGTGGTCTATCTGTCTTTCTAGTCAGTCACCATGGTCCTTGTCCCCATTGTGGGGCCAGGGCAAGAGAGGGTCCTGTAGGGGCGGGGGGTTCAGTTGAAGATGGAGTGAGTTTTGAGGGGAGCACTATTTGAGGTATTTGAGTCCCAGAGGCATAGGAAATAGCAGAGGGAGGTCAGATTCCATTATCCTCAGTGGGGATGGGAATTGGGTTTGGGGTATGGGGCTAGGAAAGGCAGCACTCCCCTCCCCCCAGCTGCCCATGCTCCTTGGGCTCCCGCCTCAGTGCGCATGTTCCCTGGTTGTCTTACGGTCAGTGTGTTTGCCTACTTGGCAAACGCCAGGGAGCTGGGAGGGTGTGCAGTCCTGTTCCTGCCGTCTGGACACTTTCTTCTACTGAGACTCATCTGGTAGGCCCGCATAGCAGTCCTCCTGAGGGCTGAAGTGTGAGTGAGGGTGAGGAGGAGGCAGTGAGCATCAGGTAGGTCTGGTGCGTCCTGCTGCGTGGTCTGTGGTCTCTAAGGGAGAAGGGCCTCCTGACCTCGAAAGAGCAGGGCCATGAGGTTATCTTCCTTCTCTTCACAGGCTGCAAGGCCACAATTGGCTTTGCGTTTTTGAAGGGGCCAGGAAAGGGAGGAATGTGGGCCATGGAAGTGAAGGTGAAGATGGGGCGAGTACTGTGGGTGATGTTGGAGGGATAGAAGTCCTGAGGTGCCGGGAACCCCTAACACAGGGCAGATCCCTGAGTCTTGAATGGGGCCCCGGGAGTTGGGGCGTAGAGGGAGGCTTGGCGGGCAGTAAAGAATGGGTCTGGCATTTGGGAAGGCTGTGGGCTGTTGAGCACTCTCCAGCGGTGTGGAGATCTGAATGCCTATTGTTAGATCCTGTTAAATTCTGAATTCTCTGGCTTCTTTTGTTTGTTAGTCTGTTTGTTTGAGACAGAGCCTCACTCTGTCACCTGGGCTGGAGTGCAGTGTGTGATTTCAGCTTACTGCAACCTCTGCTTCCCAGGCTCAAGCAATCCTCCCACCTCAGCCACTCATTTTGAAGAGTTTTATTTCCTTTGTGATTTTATGGCATTGGGCAGACCCATCTGGTACGATGGTGCTAGTGGACATTTTTGACTTATCACTGATGAGAAATGGAAAAAATTTCAACATTTCACCAGTATATTTACTGTATTTTTAAATACATTGACTATCGGAGTAAGCCATTCCATTCTGTTCTAATTTGCTGAAAGTATCCATTTTGAATATATGTTGAGTTTCATCAAACAGTGCATCTATTTAAGTCTTTCCTTCTTTCTTTCTTTCCTTCCTTCCTTTTTTCTTTTTTTTTTTTTTTTTTTTTTTGTAGTGATGAGATTTTTTCATGTTGCTTAGGCTGTTCTCGAACTCCTGAGCTCAGGCAATCTGCCCAGTTCAGCTTCCCAAAATACTAGGATTACAGGCGTTAGCTTTGGCCTGGCCATTTTTTTCTTATATAGGGGTCTTACCTGTATAAAGACTAAACTTATCTGTACTTTTGTGCGGGTGGGCTAATAGCATGATGAAATTTATCATTATATTGATTTAAAGAAAACAACTATCTTTGACCTTCCTGTGTGTAAGCATGTGAAAGCATAATTATTTTGAAAGCATATATTGTTATGGGTGTTGGGACCCCTTCACTTTGCGCTGCTGTGGGAGCATGTCCTTGTAAGGTACCTTTAGTTTGTTTTCTCAACTACGAACATCTTACGACCATGGGTTGTGACTGGTAAGGAATGTGTCTTGCTAGTTTCAAGATGATAGGGTTGATTTTCAAATGGTGTCACTCTGGCTGTCCTAGGCTCCTGTTTCCCTAATACTGTCACTTATCCTTCTGCAATTCTGGTGCTACAAATGATAGATATTTTAGTATTTTCTTACAGGTCCTTGAGGTTGTATTCGTTTTTCTTTCAGTCTCTTTTTCTGACTTGTTCATATTGAAGAATTTCTATTTGGGGCAGGTTGCTATTTCCGTTTAAGCGGGTGGTCTACCTGTCTTCCCAGGCAGTTACCATGGTCCTTGTCTGCATGGTGGGCCAGGGCCAGAGAGGGCCCTGGTGGGAAGGGGGATTCAGTCCAAGATGGAGTGAGTTTTGAGGAAAGCACTATTTGAGGTATTTGAGTCCCAGAGGCATGGGAAACAGCAGAGGGAGGTCGCTCGGATTCCATTATCCTAAGTGGGGATGGGAATCGGGGGTTTGGGGTGAAGATCTGGGAACTGCAGCCCCCCCCCCCCCCCCCCGCCTGCCGCGCAAGCTCTTTTGACTCCCGCCTCAGTACGCATGTTCACTGGGCGTCTTCCGGTCAGCAGTTTAGTCCACGTGGAGAACGGCAGTGAGCTGCGAAGGTGTGCGGTCACGTTCCTGCATTCCAGACTCTTTTTCTTCTACTGAGACTTATCTGGTAGGCCCACAGGCCAGTCCTCCTGGGGGTTGAAGTGTGATTGAGGCTGAGGACGAGGCAGCGGGCTTCCGGCAGTCCGCGGGTCCACTGCGTGGCCTATGGCCTCTGAGGGAGAAGGGCCTCATGGTTTCTGAAAGAGAAGGGCCTCATGGCCTCGGAGGGTGAAGGGCCCCCTGACCTCTGAAAGACCAGGGCCTCGAGGTCGTCCTTCTTCTCTTCACAGGCTGTGATGCCACTATCGGCTTTGTGGTCATAAAGGGGCCTGGACAGAGAGGAAGGTGGGCTATGGAGGGGAGGCGGACAGGGGCTCAGGTGAAGATGGGGCTAGTGCTGGTGGTGATGTTGGAAGGACGGATATCCTGAGGTGCCTGGAACCCTTGACACAGGGTAGATTCCTGAGTCCAGAATGGGGGCCCCTGTCGGGGGCAAGGCATGTGGCAAAGAAGCGGCCTGGAACCTGAGAATGCTGGTGAGCACCCCTTAGCCATGTGGAGTGAGGAGGGGCCAGAGTGAGAAGCATTGCAAGTTCTCACCTCCGCCATGGATGATCCAGAAACAATGGGAAGGACTGGACGAAGCTGTGTGGTCCAAGCAAACTTGATTTGAGGGGGGTGAATGGCTCTGTAAGGGAGTATGCCAAAAGCAGCAGTCACAGAAATTGTGATTCACTAGTGTTTTCATGTGGGGACCACTTGTGAAACTAAACCTCATCAGAAATGTCCCCTGTCAGCGGAGCCCAGTGGTCCCAGATCCTCAGGATGCTGAGACGGGAGGATCGGTTGAGTGGAAGGTTAAGGTTGCAATGAGTTGTGATCACGCCGCTGTGCTGCAACAGAGCGAGAACCCACATCCAGAATACATTTTAAAATAATGTCCTCTACCTTTTGCCACATGCCTTAAGATGATTGCTCTGCCACCTTGGCCACCATATATGGCTTTGCAAGCACTCAGGAAATGTACACACTTAATGCTTAAGTCTGGGCCTCATTTTGAAAGTATTTTCAAAATTAAAAT